GCCCACTTAGGACGACCATACGTTAAGCACCGCCTCCCTGGGCTCTAAGCCACGCCCCTTTCGTGCAAACCTCGGCTACGTAGGGCCCTTCGCCATTGAAGGACACTTCTATTCACCAATAAGAAGTAAAGAGGTTGTCAACGTCCGGTGAGGGGTGGGACTTCCTCGCTGTTGCTAAGACACTCGTGTTTTGCTCCCTGACAACCCCGGCGGGGGTGCGCTAGCTGCGGCCGGGCTGCAGCCCCCGCGGGAGCAGCACCCCTCGTTAAGACGTTTTCTGCTCCCATCAGCGGAGGCCCCACCTCAGTCTCCTCCCTGCTGGTCCCCGGCCTCAGGTCCTCCCAACCCCCATCTTCCCACTTAGCCGACCGGCGAGCTCGGTGGTGACAGATTCGCTGTCGCGATTCTGCAGACCGCTTCGCCCCCCCAACTCCTCCATCAAGGCCCGGCACCCTTCGCGCTCCTCCAGACTCCCTGACCGAACCCCGCTCCCAGAACTTTGGACCCCCCCACCCCCACCCTACAAGGTGCAATTCCCCCCTCCGGCGGCTGGGCCTGTGGGCGCCAGTCTTGGCCCATTCCTCTTGACTTGGACAGTAGGCGACGTGTGGGACTCCAGGCTGGTCATTTCCCTCTTTGGGCCTCAGTTTCCCCATCTGTAAACGAGAAGTTGGGCTGAATGACCTCTAAGGCCTCTTCGACTCTGACGTTCTAACAGGCTTCCCTGAGGATGTGCTTCCCGTTGGAGGAATCGGGTGTAGTTCAAAGAACTTGACAAACCTGGTTCCGACTCCCAGTAGCAGGACCCCGGCAAGTTACCTGAACTCCCAGGGCTCATAGAAAGTCAGGGTACCACAGAGCACCTCCTTTGGGAATTCTGAGGATAATATGAAGTATAGACAGTCCAGTCCAGTGTCGATTCTGTATTTGTTACTTTCCTTCCTTTGTCTCTCTTCCCCACATTTTCCCCCTCAAAAGTGCCACCAAGTGTGAACTGTCATTTCTCCATTTGACCCCCAAATCCAGACCTCCAGCTCTGTTCTTTCTCCTGGGTTTCCATGGTTAGAGATACTTTGGGGTGGCGAGGTGTGTGTGTGTGTGTGGTAGAGATGGATATGTTGATTGATGTGATGGTTTGATTCAATGGCTTCCCTTCTGCCCCTGATGATCCATGATTTGGTGATTACCTACTCTTTTTTTTTCTTCTAATATATCTTTATTGATTTCAGAGAGGAAGGGAGAGGGGAGAGAGAGAAATATCAATGATGAGAGAGAATCATTGATCGGCTGCCTCCTGCATGTCTGCTACTGGGGATCGAACCCGCAACCCGGGCATGTGCCCTTGGCCAGAATCGAACCTGGGACCCTTCAGTCCACAGGCCAACGCTCTATCCACTGAGCCAAACCAGCAAGGGTGATGATTATCTATTCTTGCGGGAGACACCTCCATGTGCACATCTCACCAGCGACTTAAGCTCAGTGGTTTTAAAATCAGACTGGCCTGCTCTCTCCCTACCCACCGGTCATCCCTGACTTCCCCGTCTCTCAGGGGCATCACCCGTCATTCTGGCATGCCCACCCCGCTCAGGCAGTTGTCGTGTTGCTTTGATTCTGCCTCAGCGGGATCTCGCATCCCTTCACTTCTGAAGCCACCACCCTGGTTCACGTCTTTGATGTCTGTCACCTGGGCCATGGCTGTAGCTTCCTAACTGGTGTCCCTTCTTCTGGTCCTGCTTCCTGTTAACTCCATTATATTAACGAGAATAATTGCCCAAAACCACAACCATGTCACCAACCCCCAAGAGACCTCCAAGGGCTTCTCCTTCCCCACTAAAAACACCCACACTTCTTCAGCCTGGGTGTTAGGGCCCTTCTGCATGTCCACACTGAGCCCCGCCTTTGCCAGCTTCTGTCCTCCAGCCATATTGGCCTGTTGGACTTTCACTGAAAACCTTTGGAGCTTTCTGCTTTGGTATCACCATGTTGGTTCCTCCCTCTTTCCGGAAGCTCTTGTCCACCTGTCGGGATCCCTACTTCCTTTTAGGGTCTGACGCACAGGCTGTCCCTGCCCTCAAGTTTTTCTTGCTGTCCTCTCCCTGGCCATCTAGAATTCTCCTCTTTCCTCTGTCTCTGCCTCTGTCTTGTTGGCACTTATGCTCTCTGTCCTGAGCCGCAGATAGTTCCTTGTGTATGTGTGTTGGTCTCTCAGGTTGTGAGCCTGAAAACGGGGACTGTCTCTTGCTTAAAGTGGAGTCGTTGGAAAAGCATAAGCTTGAGGTCATATATACTTGATGGAATCCTAGCTCCTCTATTTATTAGCCAAGTGGAATGTCACTTTCTTTTCTCAGCCTGCACGGTCATCAGAAAAGTAGGGATAGTAGCACCTGTCTGACCGTTTCCAGGGGGAGTACTGAGACCCTGTATGCAAGCACCCATCCTGTTGCCTTGCTTAAGGTCAGTACTCAGTAAGTATTAGGGAATGAATTAGATATGTCCTCTCCCTTCCTAGAGGGCAAATGGAATATGATTTCATTACAATTTAGATATTTGTTGGCCTTCTGCCATGTGCCAGACACTGGACTTGGTGCTCTGGGGCATCTACACCAGAATAGATCAAGTCCTTCAGCCCCTGGTGATGGTCTGGACTCCTGATGCACTGCTAAGTCACGACTGGTTGTGAGATGTCACCAGTAATGAGCTATTGTGAATGGTCTTTTTAGCCCAGCTCGTGTAGCTCAGTGGTTGAGCGTTGACCTATGAACCAGGAAGTCCCGGTTCGATTCCCCGTCAAGGCAGCCGATCAGTGATTCTCATCATTGATGTTTCTATCTCCTCTCCCTCTCCCTTCCTCTCTGAAGTTAATAAAAATATATTTTTAAAAAATTATTTTTAAATAAGCCAGTGGTTCAGCCTTTTGGCTAAGATGAAGCGTAGGTATCTGCTCTTATCAGTTCATCGTCTGATATGTCCTCTCTCTGAGGACAGCATATTTTTTTAAAGTGCTGACTTCTACTTGTTTTTCTGATAATGTCATTCTTAGTCTTTTATGTTCAACTCTCTCCTCTTGGGTGGGGAAGGGGAGGTGGGAGCTGGGTAACCCACTGTCCGTGGTAAGTGGGCAGCTGTTCTCGGGCAGAGCCCATAGCTGCGCTGGTTCTGACTTTGGGTTGTACTCTGTATCCTGACCAGAATGTGTGTGATTTCAGCCCAGTCTGTACCACGCGAGTCCGTGTTGTTTATTACGTCATATTATACATAAAGAACGCGTCTTGATCAAGCACGCAGAGGGGCCCCGGGGTGAAGAGGAGCGTAAAGGGCAGAAGAGAGCAAGGCCTCTGGCCTGGGCCCTGGGATGGGTCCAGCCTTGGTACCCAGCAGGTCCAAGCACGCTGGCCATGGGCACACGTACATTATTAACGGGCTCTCTGGTAGGTCTGATGGGGCTCTTCTGGCCTGGAGCTGTCAGGTACACGCGCGCTTGCATGGAAGATCGATAAGGTTATGAAAACCTCTAGTTCTATTTTTGGTAGCACCCTTTCAGCAGGGTTTTGAATCGTGTCTGAATGGTGGTAGCTGTACTCTGACGGCACGGCATCATGGGAAATTCTCCTGCCTGTCTGTGCTTGGAAGCACCGTCTGTAACTGCTGCTTTTCCTTCTTTAACTCCCGTCCCTTTTGGAGACCTATAGTGGTTATGAAAGCTCTGTGCAGTCATGTTCTTTAATAAACGCGGTTGAATCATGTTGGCAAAGTCCTGGCTACTATCATGACGGTAGGAAGAGCCGTGCGATGATGCAGTTCAGAGCTTGTACGTTTCTGAGTGCGCGCATGCATATCCTTGGCGCCTGCCGCAGCCGCCGTCTGAAGCTGCGCTGGGGTGACCCTGTTTCACAGCGGAGCAGATCTGGCTCCGGTGAAATCACTTGCCCAAGGCTGCAGAGCAGGGCAGAGGGAAGAAGTCATTTCAGGTACAGAATTGCTACTCAAGCCCAAATGCTCCGCCTCCTGTCCTGCACCTTCTCTGCTCTGCAGGGTGATGACCCTTCCCCCAAACTCCCAATGGCTTCCCCCCTTTGTTCTTGAAGAATGGGCTTTGTGACACTTCCCAAGTCTGTTTCCTTGGGATTCCACATGCTCACGGGTCCAAGTTGTCACCCTGCCTGCCCTCAGGACCAGCACGTGCACCGTGGCCTCCAGCGCCCTTCCCGCCCGCCATGTGGGCACTCTTTAGCCCGAGGATGAATTGAATCAAACTGAAATATTTAGGTGGGGGATATGTTAGCAGCTGCTTCTGCATTTTAAATGGTTCCCCCTGGAAAGATCTCGGGAGGTAAACAAGCCTTAAAGCCCTATCCTTGGATCATCAGTGTCACCACCACCTGCCGCCACCCCTTGGTAGCGTGGAAAGGAAGCAAGAAAGTGGCCTATAATAGAGCGAGAGGGACAGGATGGAATTGGGGATGGGCCGTCGGTTAATGCACGAAGACAAAGGGATTCATTGAATTTTGTGACGGAAGAAGCATGAGCCGAAAGTACAATGAGACTGCTTGCTAACTTGCCAACTTATAGGTAGAGCCAAACAAAAATTACTAATATCTGAATGGTACAAGTGCCCAGAATTGGTAAGAGGAGCCATCTGTCCACTGAGAAATCAGAAAATGCCGGTGTGGTGGGAGGCTGGAATTGGTGCCAGGCTTCCAGCCTCGGCTGAGGGCGCCGACCAAGTGGAATGGCGCTGAGGGCGTCTGAGGCATGAGGTGGGGGGGGGGGGGGGG